AGATTCTCTTGCGCCTCGTTTGGCCGTGTCAGCCAGGACTCTTTGCATTACGCTTGCCAACGCGCTTCTCCTACAGTACTCGCCGTTTCCTGCAAGGGCAGCCCAGCTGTCTTGCAAGAATTCGGCTTTCGGAAATAAAAAGAACGGGCAGCCTTAACTCCACCCAGAAAAGCCTGACAACTCCACCCCTAAAGCCATGCTTCCTGCGACTTGAAAGGGCGCCCGTAGCAACAAAACACGACATTATCAAGAAGCGCGCATTGTCCGAGTGTTGCACCATTTGGCATCCAAATCCAAATGCATTATTTGGGCCATCAAGTCCCGAACTCAAGCCGGGCTAGGACACTGTGTAAAAGCCTTACCAGCAAGAGCACTACAAGTCCACTCTTGAAAGCCCACAAATACGCTCCAAGTTTTGCCGGGGCCGCGCCCGCAAACAGGCTTGAGGCCCCGCCCGGGCCGAGCACAGACGCCGCGCAAGGCGCTGGTAACGCGCAGAGGACAAGAACGGCCAGGCTCGCTAGCCCGCTCGGGATCCCGCTCGGGCCAAGCACGGATGCCACGCGAAGCACCGCTCGGGATTTTTGGGGCGAGCGCGGATGCCACGCAAAGGCCTCAGACCCTCTTGCGGAAGCCATACAGTTAGCACACGCCAGACCCTCTTGCGCCTCGTTTGGCCGTGTCAGCCAGGGCTCTTTGCATCACGCCTGCCAACCCGCTTCTCTACTGCAATAGCCGTCTTGACAATTGAATTTAGCTTTGGGATTCACAAACGACGGGGCCCCTATAAAAGCCTGGCAACTCCATCCCTAAAGCAATGCTTCCTGCGACTTGAAAGGACGCCCGTAGCAAACATCAACGACATCATCAAGAAGCTCGCGTTGTCCGAGTGTTGCATCATGTTGCATCCAAACGCAAACGCATTATCGCAGCGGACAGTTGGGCCCGTGTAAAGGCTTTACCCGCAAAAAAAAAGACAAGTCCATAATCCTGAAGAAGCACCGTCCTCTGATTTTACTCTTCAAAGCCCACAAATACGCTCGAAGTTTTGCCGGGGCCGCGCCTGCAAACAGGCTTGGGATCCCGCTCGGGCCGAGCACAGATGCCGCACAAAGGCGCTGGTAAGGACCAAAGCAACCACGCTCGGGATCCCGCTCGGGCCAAACCCGTGCCAAGGCGCAGATAAGGACCAACACCGTCACGCTCGGGAGTCCACTCGGGGCCAGCTATGGATGCAACGCGCAGGCGCCTGCAAGGACCAAAGCGGCCAGGCTCGCCTGCCCGCTCGGGACCCCGCTCGGCGCGAGCACGGGTGCCACGCAAGGAAAAAGCAAAGGCAAGCGAAGCCACGCTCGGGATCCCGCTCGGGATGCCGCTCGGGGCTGCCACGCAAAGGCGTCACTCTTGCGGAAGCCATACAGTTAGCACACGCCAGACCCTCTTGCGCCTTGTTTGGCCGTGTCAGCCAGGGCTCTTTGCATCACGCATGCCAACCCGCTTCTCTACTGCAATAGCTGTCTTGACAATTGAATTTGGCTTTGGGATTCACAAACAACGGGCCCCTATAAAAGCCTGCCAACTCCACCCCTGAAGCAATGCTCTTGCGACTTGAAGGGACGCCCCGTAGCACACATCAACGACATCATCAAGAAGCTCGCGTTGTCCGAGTGTTGCATCATGTTGCATCCAAACGCAAACGCATTATCGCAGCGGACAGTTGTGCCCGTGTAAAAGCTTTACCCGCAAGAAAAAGACGAAGCACCGTGCTCTGATTTTACTCTTCAAAGCCCACAAATACGCTCGAAGTTTTGCCGGGGCCGCGCCCGCAAACAGGCTTGGGATCCCGCTCGGGCCGCGCACAGATGCCGCGCAAAGGCGCTGGTAAGGACCAAAGCAACCACGCTCGGGATCCCGCTCGGGCCAAACCCGTGCCAAGGCGCAGATAAGGACCAACACCGTCACGCTCGAGAGTTTAATGCAACGCGCAGGCGCCTGTAAGGACCAAAGCGGCCAGGCTCGCTAGCCCGCTCGGGATCCCGCTCGGGCCTTGCAAAGGCAAGCGAAGCCACGCTCGGGATCCCGCTCGGGATCCCGCTCGGGGCGAACGCGGATGCCATGCAAAGGCGTCACTCTTGCGGAAGCCATACAGTTAGCACACGCCAGACCCTCTTGCACCTCGCTTGGCCGTGTCAGCCAGGACTCTTCGCATCACGCTTGCCAGCGCGCTTCTCCTACAATATTTGCCGTTTCCTGCAATGGCAGCCCAACTGTCTTGCGACAATTGAATTTGGCTTGGGGATTCCCAAACAACGAGCCCCTAAAAGCCTGGCAACTGCACCCCTAAAAGCCTGCTTCTCCACCGCTAAAGCAATGCCTCCTGCGACTTGAAAGCGCGCCCGTAGTAAAACGACTGACATTATGAAGAAGCTTGCTTCGTCCGAGTGTTGCATCATGGGGGCGCGCAAACGCAAACGCATTACCATCCCGAACTGAAGCTGGGCTAGGACACAGTGTGGAAGCTCTACCCGCGAGAAAAAACAAGTCCATCATCCTGAAATAACACCGTGCTCTGGTTTTACTCTTGAAAGCCCACAAACACGCTCGAAGCTTTGCCGCGCAGAGGGGTTTGGGATCCTGCTCGGGCCGAGCACAGACGCTGCGCAAAGGCGCTGGTGAGGACCAAAAGCAGACACAGTCGGGATCCCGCTCGGGCCAACTACTATGGATGCAACTCGCAGGCGGCTGAAAGGACCAAAACGGCCAGGCTCGCTAGCCCGCTCGGGATCCCACTCGGGGCGAGCACGGGTGCCACGCAAAGGCGTCAGACCCTCTTGCCGAAGCATACAGTTAGCACACGCCAGACCCGCTTGCGCCTCCTTTGGCCGTGTCAGCCAGGAGTGTTCGCATCACGCTTGCCAACGCGCTTCTCCTACAGTTTTGGCCAAGCAGACTCGCTCGGGATCCCGCTCGGGCCAAGCGCATCAGTCCTGAAAGATCCGCTACCTCGCCACCACCTTGCGACAGCGAGAAGAATCGCCACGCTCGGGAGTCCACTCGGGATGCAACACGCAGGCGGCTGAAAGGACCAAAACGGCCAGGCTCGCTAGCCAGCTCGGGATCCCGCTCGGGCCGGCTACGGATGCCACGCGAAGGGGCCTTGGCGGGCAAACTTTAAAACTTTCAGGATCCCGCTCGGGAGAAACGCGGATGCCACGCACAGGCATGTGCGAACGCAAGCGCAAACACACTTGGGCTTCCGCTCAGGCTAAGCAAGCTTCAAGAATCCGCTCAGGCTTAACTTGCAAGGCCCAACATACGGCCAAACCTCTGACTTACAGTTAGCACACGCCAGACCCTAGCGCCTTCTCCGCTGGTGTCAGCCAGGACTCTTCGGATCATCACGCTTGCCAATGCGCTCCTCCTAACTACAGTCTTTGCCCTTCACTGAAATGGCAACGCAGCAGTTTTAGTGCGTGGCATGCACCCCCATTATTCGGCGAAGGGCGCGCTTCTCACTTAGGTGCATCCATCGACGCAACTGCGGCACCCCCCCCCCAGGATGTGTCGAAGTAATGATGATTCTGGCATGGCAACAAGCAACAGCACCCTGCGCAACTCTGCAGCACCCTGCGCAGCTCTGAGTCTCGTCCTGCCTTCCTTCCTTCCTTCCTTCCTTCCTTCCTTCCTTCCTTCCTTCCTTCCTTCCTTCCTTCCTTCCTTCCTTCCTTCCTTTGCTTCCTTTGCTTCCTTTGCTTCCTTTGCTTCCTTTGCTTCCTTTGCTTCCTTTGCTTCCTTTTGCTTCCTTTGCTTCCTTTGCTTCCTTTGCTTCCTTTGCTTCCTTTGCTTCCTTTGCTTCCTTCCCTTGCTTCCTTCCCTTGCTTCCTTGCTTCCTTGCTTCCTTGCTTCCTTGCTTCCTTGCTTCCTTGCTTCCTTGCTTCCTTGCTTCCTTGCTTCCTTGCTTCCTTGTTTCCTTGCTTCCTTGCTTCCTTGCTTCCTTGCTTCCTTGCTGGCTTGCTTGCTTCCTTGCTTCCTTGCTTCCTTGCTTCCTTCCTTGCTTCCTTGCTTCCTTCCTTCCTTCCTTCCTTCCTTCCTTCCTTCCTTCCTTCCTTCCTTCCTTCCTTCCTTCCTTCCTTCCTTTCCTTCGCTTGGGTGCTTCCGTGCCGCCTTCCGTCCTTCCTTCCAAATGCCCATGTAAAGCTATTTTGATGCCAAGCCTTATTTCAAAGACCTTGAACAATCCGACTGCCAGACTAGTTGGAGTGCTAACTGTTGGGCCTCAACCACGGCTTGGGAAAAAAAAAAACGCTGCGCAAGCGCCCAAACAGTTAGCACTCAACGTTGGAATGCCGTGCGCTAACTGATTGATACCCACTATAAGCAAACAATCAAAAAAACACAAACCAACAAAATAATAACCGAAAAAATAAAAAAAGGCAATCAAAACAAAGCAAAGCAAAGACACAAACAATCAAGCAAGCAGTCAGTAAATCAATCAACCGATCAATCAATCAATCAATCAAATCAAACAAGCAAACAAATAATCAAACAAACAAACACAAAAACAAAATAATAACCGGAAAAAAAAGCAAAGCAAAGCGAAGCAAAGACACAAACAGCAAAACAAAGAAAGAATTGCCTTACGCTCTTCACCTCAGGATGTGAATGTCGCCCTTTGTCAAGGGTTGGAAATCTCGACGTGCCAATCTGCCCATGGCCAGCATGGGATCAGCATGGTCGCGCAGAGTTGATGCAACAAATACAAATGGAGCAACGAGCAACATGACTAGGTCCTCCAGTAGAGAGGTTTGAATAAGGGTACCCTTGTTTCTGTAGTCTATTTTAGAAGGGGAACCCTCCCCCAAAAAAGGGTAAAGGACACTACTCTGGGACCTAGACAAGGTAGGCTCACTCGACTATCATGCATATATTCATGACCATCTCCGCACTATACGTGCGCATGCTTTGTGACTAGAAAACAACTGCAAACATACTTGGCTTCATCACGTGTGCCTCAAACTCTGAACTTGAACGCACATATGCACGTGGTGTGTATGTGTGTGTTTTTTTGTGCGTACATCTGTAAGCAGGTATACATTTTTTTAGATACGTACACACTTGAACCATGTGGTGTTCAAGCGTAAAATGTAAACGCCACAACAGTCCCCTTCGTGCATGAGACATCTACATGTCTATGTAGTCCGCTGAATGTGCAATGTCCCCACACACACACACACATGCTGTTACCTGCCATGGCAATGTCAATCCCCAACAGCCAGAGAGAAACGCGATCACAATCAACCTCGAAGGCGACGACAATGACCGAAAACTCTCTCATGGAGCCCTGGCTGGATTGATTCAAATGCAAACCAAACAGGGACCCCCAAAATGGCAAAACGGTTTTCCTGTTGGTTTCCCTTTAAAATAATCACCCCCAAAGAACCAAAAAAAAAAGCTCAGGTGATATCCCCAACAGCATGCGGTGCTCGTTTTAGTGCTCGCACCACCCCGCAGCCCTCGCAGAACCTCGTGGAACCCTGGTGGAACCCTCGTGGAACCGAGACCCCAAAGCTTTCAGCTGTTGGGGGGAGAAAACAAACACGTGGCACATCCCCCGCTCTTGGTGTCGTCTTCTGGAGAAAATAGCTGGGCTTCCCTGGAAAATGGGGCAAACAAAACCCTCCAAAACCAAAAAAAAGACCGAACAAGACGCCGAGCCAAGCTCTCCTTTCGCTTCGAGGGGCTGGCGGGCTCCAGGGCGCTGTGGCCGCAAAAGGCGGCGAGGAGGTGGAGTGCTTGGGCGCCAGGACCAGGTCCTCCTCGCCCTCCGGGACCACCACCACCTCGGCTGGGAGAAAAACTCGATACCAAGTTCTTTTTTTTTACACGTGTTTTGTTGTTGAGGGTTTTATGATTCTATGTTGTTATTTTTTGGACACCAAGCTGTTTTGTCTAGGTCCTCCAGTGGAGAGGTTAGAATAAGGGTACCCGACTTTTTTCTGGCTATGCTAGTAGGGGAACCCTCCCCCAAAAAAGGGTTTGTTTTGAGGGAACTCAAGTCTGTGTTGCTCGACCTGAAGTTGCAGTTTTTGTGTACACGCTTTCTGTTTGAGGGAACTCAAGTCTGTAATTACCGCTGGACCCCTTTTGCCGGGCAGAGCGGATTTTTTCGTGGCCGGCCCCCAAAAAAAACGCGAGCCGCCGAAAACCCGCTTGCTCGCGACTTCGAACTTCGAGCGGCGGATGGGCGCGTGGTGGTAGGGATCAGCGCGATGGTGGTGGCGGTGGAGGTGTAGAGCGTGGTCCGCGTGGTGGAGGGGAAAGTGCTGGTCTCCGGCGCCGAGCCGAAGATGGGACGCAGGCCCTCGCAGCGCCCGTCCTGGCGGGCCAGACGCTTGGAAGCTGCAAGTTGGGACCCGGGTGGGTGGGATGAGTCATCCCCCCGTCCATTTCTGGGCTCCGTTTTCATGTCTGGACCAAATGGAAACCCAACCCTGTTGGCCGAAAATCAAGGCTCCCACCATCTCCCACCACAACCAAAAAAACAAGCCACCTCAGGTGGTATATCCCCAACAGCCCTGGAACCCTGTAAAACCCTCTGGAACCCTCCTCGCTGAAACCTGGCCCGAACCACCCCCAAAGCCTATTTGCCCAAAGCTTTCAGTTGTTGGGAATTTATCAAAGAAATACATCTAACAGCAGTACAGGCAGGGGCACGTCAAAGGCACGCATTTTGGACTTTAGGCATGTCCACCCATGGTAGGCAACATTCTTGGGGGAAGCCCCTATGTATGAATCCACTTAAAGACTTCTGAAAGGAGAAAGGCTTCGAGGAAGCACCTAGAACTCTGGCGGCACCCTGTGTGCTTGCCTTGCTGCTTTGTGTGCTGTGTTTGCTTTAACCCAAGGATGATAACACCGCCGCCGATCAAAAGGAGGTGCGTATATGGACTGCTCTTGGAATTGCATGAGCCCCCGGGGTGACGATTCCGGGCAAACGCATGGGGCAAACATGGTGCCTGACAGGCCGTCTTGTGCATGTTTGCCTAGCTGTAGGTAATTCTGAGGTGGTGTCTAATGTTCATGAGAAGTGTGTGTGTGTGTGTGGTGTGTGTGTGTGTGTGGGTGTGGGTGTGGGTGTGTGTGTGTGTGTGTCTCTGTGTGTCTCTGTGTGTCTCTGTGTGTCTCTGTGTGTCTCTCTGTGTGTCTCTGTGTGTGTCTCTCTGTGTGTGTGTCTCTGTGTGTGTGTCTCTGTCTCTGTGCGTGTCTCTGTGTGTGTCTCTGTGTGTGTCTCTGTGTGTGTCTCTGTGTGTGTCTGTGTGTGTCTCTGTGTGTGTGTCTCTGTGTGTGTCTCTGTGTGTGTGTGTCTCTGTGTGTGTGTGTCTCTGTGTGTGTGTCTCTGTGTGTGTGTCTCTGTGTGTGTGTCTCTGTGTGCGTGTCTCTGTGTGTGTCTCTGTGTGTGTCTCTGTGCGTGTCTCTGTGTGTGTGTCTCTGTGTGTGTCT